GTGTGTTCCGTCCTGCAAACCCTTGTTGGGTTTACATACACTACTAGTTTGCTGGCCCTTGCACCGTCATGGAATTGCATTCTAAGTAATACAACGGGCAATTCATCAGATGTAAGTTAATTTGTCTGATAAATTCATTTATCAGATGTAAGTAATACAACGGGCAATTTATCAGATTAAATTCATTTAATCTGGCCAAGCCTTCGGGCCAGCAACAACGACGCCTGCTGGCGCCGTATTCCCCTTGGGGCATTCTTGTGTTTTTTCTCCTCTCCCAATGATTTCTTTAGGTGAAAATCACATCCTGGTTCTCTAGGACGGGTGGCGATCGCGCTCCTTGGAGGCATCATTCAGAAGAGCTATTTCTTATGGGTGTCGTGCGCTTGTTTTGTTTTTTAGCAGCAGGATCAGACGTAGACGCTTGGTGAAGTTATCTTTTTCCTTTCCTGACTATAGTCTCCCAAAACTATAGACTTGTATTTTTTTTCTACTATATCAATCGAAAAGCAGCACTATCTTGGACGGGTTATTAAAAAAACCTATTTTTAAGTTCATAGTAATTAATACTTAACTAATTGTGTGCTCCGTTTTTTGACCCACCAACATCTACTGCTGTTTTAGTTTTGATCAAAACATCAACAACACATCCAACAACAAATTATCTGCAGTGCATTCACTGCAATAGCATTTGTAGAGCTGATCAATTAAGAATACTAAACATTCACTGATATCATGAATGTGCCTTCCTAGGAGTGAACCCCCACTTCCTCTCCAGGGGCCATCTCCCCCGAGCAGCCGTGCAGCCACTGGTGGAGAAACTCTCAATTGTCCCTGTCTAGCGGGTGGTCGTGAGACCCCCCCCCCCCCCCTTTATGAGTTCGGCCAGGGGATAAGGCGCGATGATCAAGAGCGTTCTTCCACCTAGGGTTTGTTCACTAGATCGCTTGTTTAAGGCGTATAAGAGGCAAGAGATTATACAGGTTCGGGCTGCTGGGAAGCGTAATACCCTACTCCTGTACGTGGGATTATGATGGGAATCTTACAAGCATCCTTGAGCTCCTGAGGGAAATCTTCCACTTCTTCCTCTAGAGCTCAGGCAATCCAAAAGTCGTCACTTCTCTCTATAGGTAAGGTCCTCCTTTTATAGTTCAAGGGAATACCACATGCACCATTCCTACCTACACCTCCACCATAGGGAGGCCCACCTGACTCAGGTCAGGTGACTATCCATGCCTTTAACCGGAAGCAAGGTGGTTGTCTGCCCCTAGGTGGGGCCCAGCGCCGTCCTCCGCCTGACACATGGGACATCCTTGTCATTCCCTCTTAAATGCATGGAGACTTTGGTGGCTCATCACGCGCGGAGGGCACTCCTGGGAACGTTTTGATGGGACGGGACATACCTGCCCCCACTCCGCCTGACACAGAGCGGACGTGGGGGCACTGCCGCCCGTCTCATCGTCTGCGACCGGTCACAAATCGGTCAGGCTCGATTGACATGGGTCAATCGGGCGGCACCGCACGCCCGTCCACACCACATTAAATGCGGCGCAGGACGGTTGGGCGCTGCGCATTGAAGGCGTGGAGCAGTGCCTCCTGCTCCGCCTACTCTCCCCGCCACGTGGTGGCCGGGCGAGGGCCTCGGGGCAACGCGCCCCGACAGCCCAAGGGGTGTGACATGGCACTCCGAGGCCCCCTGGCCATCTCAGCGCTATCCGAGGAGCGGGGGAAGGCGGGGCCGCGTAGCCACGTGGCTAGACGGGAAGGATACTCTACTTTACTGTGCGTACCCTCAGGCCCATATCACCGACAGTCCCAGTTTAGAATCATCCTAGGTTGCAAACCGGGACTCTGAATCCGGGACCAAATCAGAAACATGATTGTGTTGTTCAGGTGCGCACCAATACCCGACCGGTGTGTTGAGTGCTGAAGATGTGCTGACGCCGCAATCGCTAACTGAGATGCCAAATCGATCGTTTAATTTGTCCTGTATCACGTGCCGGGGTGTATGTATACACGTAACTAACTTGATTTTTGGAATATCTTATATGTACCTAAAGATTATCTGGGAATCGGAACATAAAGACATAATCTGATATTTAGAATTTTATAGGAACCGATCTTCAACTAATATTGGGCATGGCTGCTTACCTACGTGGGACTATAGGGGAGGAGAAGAGGTGGGACCATAGTTTTCGGTTTGATTTAATTTCAATGTAACCTAATGGTTCAGAACATTGACCCACGGATTTAAGTAAAAATTAACGGATATATATTTTGCTTTTTCCTCAGAATTTTTTAAATTGTCTCTAATTTAATTATTAATTAGAGCACCATGTGGCAGTTCGAGAGAGTTTCAAGGAAGTTTAATGAATCATAAAATTACCACTATATCTTCATATAATGTAGTTTCTAATTTTAATGTAGTTGTGAGTTTGCTTAATTAGTAGGTTCATTGATTTTTAAGTTTCTAACCAATATATTTTGGGAACGGTTCATTTTACTTTTAAGACTGTAGGTCTAATATAATTTAATTATTATGAAGTTATGTAGGATGATAAAATCTACATTATTATTGTTTTTCATATCTCTCGAAGTGTTTGAAATGCATACAAAAGTTAGAAAATGTAGCTCAAAAGTAATATATTTGTTTTCAAAGTTCATTTAAAGTGAAATTTGGTATTTATTAGCAGAGAATTTAGTCACCACCAATCTAAAAAGTAATCAACGGATAAAAAGTAACTGTATGACTTATATATCGTAGTTACTTAATTTTTTAATATATTCTTTCTTTCTAAATAATAAAGCATTAAAAAAGGAGAAGGCACTGATGGAAAAGAGAAGGGAGGGAATCAAAGGAAAAGGGGAACTATAGTACGTGTACGTAACTTTACATATATAACGTACGTATGTACCTAGCAAGATGCTTGGTGGGGCTGAGGTTAGGAGGTGAAGTTTTTTAAAAATAAATCTAATGGTTGTAAATAATTGGTCCACAAATTCAATGAAAATCAACAATTATTTATTAGAGTGCCACGTGGCAGTTTAGGAGCATTTGTAGGATACCACATGGTGACTTAGGAGCGTTTGTAGGATACCACATGGTGTATATAATGGATATGCACCCTACATAAATTTTATATGAATTTTTTAGCACTCCGTAGTTTCTAGAGATATGATATAAGTTTTATGAATGGCAAAGTTAATACGTTCGCCTATTTTTATGTGTGCCTCCAACTCCAAATAGCAGGGGAAGGGTTTTTAGGAAGCACATACGGATCGGGCGCCCGATTTTTTACAGAGAAATCGGGCGCCCACCCAGCCTCCACCAGCGGTCAACGCATGCACCTGCGCACAGGATGGAACAAGATCCTCAGGGTGCATGTATACTAGTTTGTTAGGGTAGTTAAAGTTTTTAAGAAAACTTTAAACTATTTTTTCTCTTAAATTATTTATCCAAATTATGGTGCGATTGCACTATTAAATTCGTTGCAATTAAATCTTTAAAACAAGACCACATATGGATATATTCCGACGAATTTTTTTAGCTTATTATTGAATTATTTTTAAATATTGCACGATGTTCCATCAAGTATATCGGAATTGTTTCACTAAGTAGATCGAAAATATTTTAATCGTTTAAATTGGGCGTTGTTTCACCTTATATAAAAACAATGTTTCAGCAAACAGCGAAAGAATGTTTAAGTTCACTGCAACATTTGATCTATACATAGTGAAACATTGTGAGTATGCTAGGTGAAACATTTATGGTGGAAAAAAAATGAAACATCGTGAGTACACTAGGTGAAATATTTTTGGTGCAACAAAAAATGAAACGAATTCCCCTAATAGAGGGTTTCCAAAATATGTGGGTGATTTGTTGCAAAAGAATGTTTCAGTTCATTGCAACATTCGATCTATACATAGTGAAACATTATGAGTATACTAGGTGAAATATTTTTGGTGGAAAAAAAAATGAAACGAATTCCCCTAATAGAGGATTTCCAAAATATGTGGGTGATTGTTGCAACGGCGTGTTCCATAATATCAAAATCCACTGCAACATTTGATCTATATATAGTGAAACATCACGAGTACACAATGTGCAACATTCTAAATGACCTAATGAAACATTAAAACATTCATTGAAAAAAAATCATCAGAATATAGTCGAGTAACATATTATTGTGAAGATTTAATTGTAACGAATATAACGGTATAATCGGATCTCAGATTAGATAAATAATTTATGAAATAAGATTATTTGAAGTTGTGAAATAAAAGAGTATAAACATGCGCTAGGAGCATGTGGGAGAGAATAATTAGAAAGATGATTTTGACATCACACGATGCATATACTGAGTTGAAGAGACTAAAATAATAATAAAAAAATCATTAGGAGTTAATATTGCATGCACTGCAGCATCGGGGTGGAAGGGCGTCCGATTTTTTTCGGTTAGATCGGGCGCCTGACCCTAATCATTTTCCAGGTTTTTAGCTTCAAATGTTTATTCATTCTCGATTCAGACTTCGAATGTTCTTTTCAAACGTAATATGTATAAACTTCATGCAATGTTACTATATATGGATAAATCCTCAAGCTGTAATCGTATTTTGTAAATACATGCAGTCTGAATTATTTTGCTGTCATCTGGATGCTCCGCTGGTGTCCCAGGCTCCCAGCTCTAAAGATGTTGTGACCTCTGAGGCTCCCAGATGCTGATTAATAGTTTCTCCTACATGATAGGAGAAGATGTACTTAAACATATATAGTTGTTTACCTGAAAGTATAGGTATATGGTCCTCATGCATCTACATATTTAACCTTGAAAGCATAGCATGCATATATTTGCAATATATGTAGGCGCTTTAGGGGATCTCTTCCGTGCTCGTATCTGTTTCCAGAAATGAAAAAGCGTACGTGCAAAGATGCGTACATGTGCATGGTTACTCATTATCATCATTCATCAGTAGCAAAGCTAACTCTTCACCTTTTTCTCCTAGCTGCTGCTGTCTTCAGGACGCTTGCTTCTCAAGGATAGAATTTCATGGACGCTTTAACTGCGCTGTCCCCATAGGTTGCCAACTGAACCAATTCAACAGTGGAATGCACGACAATTGTGCAACAAAACGAGAGAGTACTCTGGAATTTGAGTGAGAGAGGTGCAGAGGGTGGCCATGGCGGCGACGACCGACTGGGGACCGATCATCGCGGCGGTGGTGCTGTTCATCCTTCTGTCACCGGGGTTCCTGTTCCAGTTGCCGGCGAGGGCGAGGGTGGTGGAGCTGGGCAACATGGGCACCAGCGGCCTCTCCATCCTCGTCCACGCCATCCTCTACTTCTGCATACTCACCATCGTCGTCGTCGCCATCGGCGTGCACGTCTACTCCACCAAACCTGATCCGATCGATTAGCATACACATATATAAGCATGCATATTTGTGGTGTGCAAATAGTAGAGATGGGCATTTATAGAATATAGTGTGTGTATGGATAATCGACAAAAATATCAGTGGTGATAGCTAGTGTTCTTTGTGTTCCATTTTCCTTCCTTCGGAATCTTTTTCGAAGTATGTTTAATTATTGCTTTTTTCTTTCCTGTTTTCTTCTGTAACAATATTTTATATTCATGTGTGTCTTCTGTGACCTACCTGTCTCTAAGTAAATAGCTAGGTAATGTTATGAATTTTTCGTACCAGAATTAATGTTGATCATAACTGCACGGTACTTACTATATATCTAGATGAGTTGATCGATCATGAGATCACGTCAACCCATGATTTTGGTAAGATGATCCGATCTTTTTATAGTACAACTAATTCTTGTTTGATTTTGTAGAGGCATCAGCAATCCATATATATGAACTACACAAATAATTTAACCACGCGTTTCAAAACAAAAATAATCACGATGACATACTTTTTGGGAAGTGTTAGCAACTACGATGAAAATTTTCAACGGTTGATCTCCATATATTTATACCGCAATGCTATAAAATTAGCAACTGTAATCAACAGATCAGGTGGAGACTGCAGAAGTGCAGATCAAGTAGTCTAAGGGCCAAGTCTCCACAGGCAGTACAGGCACATGTTATTAGACAAAACAGAGCAAGGAATGGAGAAGGGAGCTACTAGGAATTCAAGCTTGAGTACTAGTCACCAATTGTGATCAATGGTTTACTTGAATGAATTAGGCCCTATTCTTTTCTCCAACAAAAATTGGATAAACTTTTGGATACTTGTGGCACGCTTTTCAAACTGCTCAACAGTACGTTTCGTGCAAAAACTTTCTATATGAAAGTTTTCTAAAATATCAGATTAATCCATTTTTCAAGTTTGTAATAATTAAAACTCAATTAATCACACGTTATTACCACATCGTTTTGCATGAAACACTTAATCCTTATCTTCATCTTCAGAAGATTCAAACACCATCTTAAAACGCTTGCTTAATTAGAATCTAGATCACCATGCATACATACACCATCGAATTGAGCAATGAGAACATGATGAAGACATCAACACCATCGATACATCCACGTCTCCACAAGTATAACTTCATGGTCCTATTACCCGCACTCGTGCATGTCAACTCAACTATCAGGTGAGTTTATTCTTGAGTGCATGTTCCTCTTGTTTATACCCCGGAGATACGTGCACTCTTGTTTTACTAGGGAACGATGGGGTCCAACGGGGAGAGTATTCGCGCGGGGTGGATTCGGACTGCAGGACAACGCCAAATTCTGACGGCCTCCACGACTTCATGCGAGCTCCGATTTGGGCGTGTAAGTACTTCATGTTCATATCTATTGTGGAGCGGCCACAATCATCGTTTTACTATCGAGTAGTTTTCTGCCCACGGTGCTGCCACTACTACAAAACATCAAATAGGTGTCGCCACTATAGGTGCCGGTAGTGTTAAAACCGGCATCATCTTTTCCCACCTCCGCGGGTTGAAATCGCAAAAAACCATCACCTTTAAGTAATTATAAGTGTCGGTTCTAACTAAAAACCGACACCTATTCTATTTTGTGTCGGTTTTTTAAAAAAACCAGAACCTTTAATATTAGAAACCGGTACCTATAATAAATTATAGACGTTGGTTTTTTAAAAAAACCAGCACCTACGAATTGAGCGGAGCCGGGATGAGCCGAACCGGTGGGCCCCACCACGACGCGTCAAGGATGAGGAGATAAGGTCGATCAGTCGTTCTCTCCATAATCACAGTCGAACTCTCTCGTTCTCTCTGCTCTCTCTCCCCTCTCTCTCGAGCACCCTCTCTCTCTCGGCGGCGAAGGCGGCGGCTAGAGGAGCGGCGTGCGGCGGCTCCTCTCTCGCTGCCTGTGGTCAGCGGAGGAGGCAGCGGCGGCCGCGCCCTCCCCTCCGCTAGATCCGGGGAGGGTTGGCCTAGCGGCGGCAGGGGATGGGCAGCCCAACGGCGGCAGCGGCGGGAGGTGGGAGTCGGCCGCGGAGGGGAGGCGGGATGTGGCGGCAAGATGAGAGGTGGTGGCGCCCTCCCCTCTCGACTCTCTCTCGCTGCCCGCGGCCGGCGGCTGGCCGGTGAAGGGGGCAGCAGTGGCCGGAGCCTCTCCTCCACGAAATCCAGGGACAGGCGGCCCAGCGGCAGCAGCGGCGGGAGGCGGCATGCGGCGGCGCCCTGCCTCCTCTCTTTCTGTGATAATTTATGTGATGTTCTTCAATGATAGTGAATGATTTTTGTGAAAGATTTCTGTGATGTTCTTTAATGTTTCTTGTTGTGATGTTGTTTGATTGGGGATTGATTTGGAGTTCTGTGATGCGGGATGGATGAGCTCGATGCATCGGCTCGATTTGAGCTGATGCATTGAGCCTTTTTTTTTGGCTCGCGAGTGGCATCAAAGGTGCTGGTTTTTAAAATGGGATTGGGGCCGGATCAATCTTCAGTGCCGCCTCCATAGTGCTGGTTAGTAAAACCGACACCTTAAGGGGTTTCCCAACCGGCACTATTCACGAGTTATGTGGTATCGTGCGTCACCTCATTTAGGCCCAATGGACTGTGTATAATGTTGGGCCCATTAGGGGCGCGTCCTAGAGTTAGAGCACGACCCCAACACCTCTGTGGTCATTCTCCCCCTCATCTTATACCTTCAGCTGCCGCCAAGAACATTTGGGTTTTGATGATTAGAGTTAGCTACTAGCTACCTGCTCGCAGCGCGCGTATTGGCTAAACCGCACGTCTGCTTGTAATCGGAAACCCGCCATTTTGTGTTTTTCATATATAGTGAAACTTTCATCTTCATCTATAGCAATTCAGTGCTTGTTCTACATGTTCTTGCTTGTTCTTCGATTGCTTGTATTATGAGTGCCCTCGTGGCCGGGTTGTCATGCACCATAAATTTGCGACGACCATTGGAGACGGTGTATCGGTTGCTAAGGCGCAGTGTCCCTGGATGGTTGCAGTCGGGCCGTGAGCGTCGTCTTCATCTAATCAAGTTATCCCCCGTCTCTTATCGAAAGATCGGGACACTAACCCTTGCGGGTTCACATCAGAACAGATGTAACTTGCCCTTTCATAGTAAGTCCCTCCGAGCTGTTGAGAAACATTGCAATTGCAAGGATACTGTTGTAGGCTGCAATTCGCACTAGAGGTAAAAAAGGACGGGCATTTCCCACCGTCCACCTGTATCAATTCCGGATAGGTTCAGGTCATAAATTCCGTTACCGAGTTTTTATATGGATATTGGAGCTAGATCACGTGATCCGATTCGGGAAGAAATATAGTATCCTGTGGATATAGATTATCCGAGTAAAAAAAGTATTACCAAGTACGTAAACTGTCCGGATAGTACCAGTTAGCCCGCATGGTTTACATCAGTAAATAACCACCAAAATATTTGCATAAATCCTTTTTAGTCTTGGTTTTTATTTGAACCCGGGTAATTGTAAATTTTGACCGACCGAGCAAAGATAGTTTCTCCAGTAGTGTAGTACTAGTTTACTACATGTCGAGCTAGTGCTAAAACGTAAGGGTATAACGTAGTTAACGATTTTTAGTGACCCTGCTAATTAAGATCTTAAGGACTAATAGGTTAGCTATTGTTATGCCTTAATCTAGTTGTATTAGGGATATATTGCATGGTTGAATGGTAATTGCATGTGTGACTTGTTACCTGGATCGGTATTCATGACCGATATATTACACACCTAGCTTGGTACATACTCGTTCGGTATTTGCGATCAAGATTACCCGTGTTTGAATACCTATTCATCAATGCCAATATCGGGCCGATTCCGATTATAAAATATGGGTTTGGCTATAGTAAGGGTACCTGAAATCTGACCCCACCAGGACTCAATTTCACCTCTAGGTGCAATGTTTTGTATGATGTCTAATCACTATAGTAACAGAATCCTAATGTGTTACATGGAAATATCACAGTGACCCATCGTATGTGCCACAATCCCACAAGAGTAGTCTGTAATAAATTGGCATTTAACAGAAAAATGAGCTCGATATGCTCGCAAAATGTGTGTTACAACCATGCATGCGTCTCAAAGACACTATAGAAATAATGAAAACTAAAAGGCTATTTGTTCGAAGCACTCCGGATCGCTTATTATATTTGACTAGCCGCCAACCCATGCGTTGCACGGCGTAAATTTGTTAATATCTTTCATAAATATTTTTTCCCATGCTGAATATGTAGTATTTCTTTATAATTTCTTGATTCCAAATTTTATTTTTGTAACCTGCTAATTATTAATCAATAATTTCAGTATTAAATTAATTACATAATGGATAGCCACTATGGATACAAAGTTCATGTTTATTAGTTCCTATCAGTTACGAATTTAGGATTACTGAATTTTTGAAAAACAAAAATAATTAAGTTTACCAAAATGAAATAACCCCATTGTATATTTAATGGTATGTTTCCTTTAACACAAAATTGTTTTCATATAGTATTGTTAGCATTAGTAATAATCACATTTTAATCAAGCTTGTTGCTCAGCTTTGATTACAGAAAGAACTTCAAATTTGATTGCTAAACTATATTGAAACAACGAATATAAATTAAAACATACGTTGTTCAACTCAATTTGGACAAATAATGCAGCAAATTAGTGTTGTAAGATGGTGCAAAACCTGTAATTTAACTTAAAATATAACATAAAGGATCAAAATCCAACAATTTAAATATCCTTAATTAGACACCAAACACTACACACTACAAGATATGTGTGGCTTTTTGACGTATTTAATATGACACAGCTCATAATGTCACTATATCATCTAATTTATGACATTTTATTTCAAGCATTTCAACTTAATGACAATAAAAAGTTGTGTGTCACAATAAATGTCATGCCTTAATCTAATGTCATCCAGTGACAATATTTACTATGTCATAAGACCTATTTATGTGTCAAAAATTATTTATTGTATTATTTTAAATTTTTTTGTCCATGTAGGCAAGCCTTACTGCCACATCAGATTTTCTTTTTTCAAACTCAGCAAAATAGCTATAAAATTTTGGGAGCTGGGAGTCAAATCCGCGAGCTCCTAAGTTAGAGGTGGTGTGCAAACCACTAAGCTACATGATGTTTTCTTACATATTGCATATTATTTTATATATCACGTTTATATCTTCTAAAGAAACTAATCTC